GAAATTTTATATCTTACACAAGTTTACATTTCAGTCTGCAAGTGATTTGTATTTGCAGAGATTAAAGTATTAAAGAACAGGAGATGATCAGTACTAGTCTTAGGAAAGAAGGCTCACTTCACATAGCCACATAGGTTATGCACTGCAAAACGTCAAGGGATGCCTGAAAGGAGAGAGGTGTAAGAGATGATTTAATATTATTTATGGCTGGTTTATAAGTAATTGTTTTGATGTTATGATAACTTATGTTTTCCTCCACAGGCATATATATCTACAGGGACTCAGATAATCAATAATGTGGTCTTGAGAAAACCTTTCCCCCCATGACTGGTGGTTAATAAAAATTGTTGATTGAATGACTGAAGATACCAGATCTACTTTTCCTGTGTCACTTAATACTGAGTTCATTTCTCGAAGAAAGTATCTAGAAATACAACACCTGTGAGACAAATCAAACACATGGCGGGGCACTGGCTCTGTTTAAGATGTATATATAACAGGTCCTACGGGATAAATGAGGGGAGAGTGGCCATGGTCAGTTATGAGGCTTACATCCAAGGGGTGGTGGCCATTAGCAGCTAAAACATAATGTTGATTTTCTAAACATTCAAATTTTCAAAAGACTGTTGTCTTTTTTAATGCAGTTAGTTTAGGAGGCTTCATTTATTTATTCATTCACTTCACTCAGATATTTATCAAGGACATAGTATTAATATGTGACAGACATATTCTAAGTACAGGAATGCAGTTGTTAACAAGACAGATGAGTATGAAATTTACATCTCCTTGGAGGAAACAGACAGTAAACCAACAGGTTAATAAGCAAGAAAAATAGATGATAGTAAGAATTCATTACCACTCTAATGGCAGAAAGCGAAGAGGAACTAAAGAACCTCTTGATGAGGGTGAAGGAGGAGAGTGAAAGAGCAGGTTTAAGACTAAATATTAAAAAAACAACAACAACACTAAAATCATGGCACCTGGTCCCGTTACTTTATGGCAAATAGAAGGGGGAAAGTTGGAAGTAGTGACAGATTTCCTCTTCGTGGGCTCCAGCATCACCGTGGATGGTGACGGCAGCCGTGAAATCAGAAGACAGTGGCTTCTTGTCAGGAAAGCGATGACAAACCTAGACAGTGTGTTGAAAAGCAGAGACATCACCCTGCCAACAAAGGTCTGTATAGTCAAGGCTATGGTCTTCCCCACTGGTCGTGTACAGTTGTGAGAGCTGGACTGTAAAAAAGGCAGGATGCCAAAGAATTGATGCCTTCGAACGGTGGTGCTGGAGAAGACTCCTGTAAGTCTCTTGGACTGCAAGGAGATCAAACCAGTCAGTCTTAAGGGATATCAGCCTTGAGTATTCATTGGAAGGACTGATGCTGAGGCTGAAGCTACCAATATTTTGGCTACCTGATGTGAACAGACAACTTATTGGAAAAGTTCCTGATGCTGGGAAAGATCGATAGCAGAAGGAGACAAGGGCATCAGAGGATGAGATGGCTGGACGACATCACGAATGCAATGGACATGAACTTGGGCAAGCTCTGGGAGATGGTGGGGGACAGGGAGGCCTGGCGTGCTGCAGTCTGTCAGGTTGCAAAGAGTTGGACAGGACTGGGCGACTGAAGAGCGACAACAAGAATTCAGATCGTGTCGGGGGGAACATAATGTGTTGGGGCCCCTTGAGAGGTGGAGTGAGCAGGGAAGACCTGTCTGTGCAGGTGAGGAGGGAGCCGTGACCTGCCAGATGCAGGTGAGGACAGCGTTCCAGCCTGGGGGCAGTCAAAGCTTGATGTGCTTGAGGAGGTCAGGGAGGCCTATGTGGGCAGGAAGGACTGTGGTTGGGGGTCAGAAGAGTTTAGGTTTTACTCTCAATTCAGTGAGAAGCCCAGTAAGATGGTTAAGATGTTAAGGCCTACTTTTTCAAAGGTTGCTCTAGCTGCCATAGGGAGAATGGTTTGAAGGAGGCTAGTATAATCTCAGAGAGTCCAATTAAGGGGCTGTGGCCATAGTCCAAGATGAGAGACGATGCAGCTTGCGCCAGGCAGTAGTATAGGACATAGAAAAGAGCAGATTGGAGTATAGGGTTTTGGAAGTCAACTAGACAGGACTTGGTTGCTAGATTGGATCTGAGAGTTGAAGGAAACATTCAGAGTAATTCCTAGATGTGCAGTTGAGTAACTGATATGAAGAAAGTGGACAGGAAGTGAGATTTGAGCAAGAAGAAGGGCGGGGTGTTAGGAATTGTGATTTCACCGCTTTAAGGTGTCTGTGTAGATGTTGTCAGGGAGGTGGTTTGATTAAAAATTGAAATGTTGATCACCATTTTTCAGTGAGAAGATAAATAGGCTGAGGCTGTGTTTCAGGTTTGTAGCTGGCATAGTTAAAATACCTGTTTTTATGTTGATTTGAGAAGTTTTTAAGTTACATGTGCATATTTTTTAATCACATAAACTAGATTAACTTAAACATATTGCTGGGTTCCTGTTTCATGTTTTACAAAACATTTCATTCAAATGCTTCCTGTACATTTCTCACATGCATATCTGACATCAATGTCTTTGGCACAATCTTTCTTTGTGATTTTGGACATTACGTAAACATTTCCCAAAGTATGTCCCCCTCATTTCTATAGAAGTTTTTGAGATACACTGTTACCAGAGTATATTCTTATCACTAGAAATTTTGTCCCAAGCCACGGCATGCATTTATAAAATATTAGGCAATTACATTAAAATAAAAAAAACCTCTGTGCTACGTATATACTGGAGTAATATAGTAAGTACTTTTTAAAGAGAGCTTTAAAATGTATCTAACACTTGGAATCCTGATAATATCTATGTTATATATTTTTTTTTACCCATTGCATTCTAGATTGGTGTCAATTCAGGGTAATATATATTTACCAAACAATAGATTATTGTTCAAAATAAAATAATTCAGGTAACACTCTATAAGTGAAAGACTTAGTGGAGACTCAGGAAAATGATTAGCTCTTCTCTTCTGCTGCAGCCAGAAGGATTGGAGAGTGTCTCCATCCTGGCTGTTTCATGAAAATAACCAGTAAACCGTTGCCTCATGGAGATTGCATTGCTCTTATAGGCCAGTTCTTTTAAATATCCTCGGTGCTAGCAAGTTACTGTCTTTTGAAAATAAATTTTTGAGTTTGGAGAAAAATCAGGTCTGTATTTGGGGGAAAAATCAGGTCTGCATACAATATGTATTGTTAGCCATTACTCTAGGTTTTTTTGTGGTTTTCTTTGCTTATTTTGAGAGCAAGGCTCAGTGAAAAACAAGATCTAGCTTTTAGGTAAACTAATATTCTTATATGACTTTGAATTTTTTTAGAAGTTAGTTTCAAAAGTTCCCAGAATGTTTAAAGTAATGGGGGCATCAATTGGCATCAGATTACAGCTTCCCAAGAAGCTTGAACTGAACAACAGTCTTTTGGATGTGTATGATCTGGTATATTTATATATATATATATATTTTAATACTGACTATGAAACCTTTAGCTCAGATAAGTTTCTTGATGGAGTGGCGCATGAAAAACATAAATAATTTAAATTTTCTTGGATTAAATTTTTTATACTAGTTACTGCCTATTTTTTGTTTTCCTCCTTTGTACAAGGAGTAAATAGAAGAAGATTATTCTAGATTATTGGACATGCATTATTAGGATGTTATTAATGGAAGTCTGTGATCTTTCTTCTACATACTAGATCAAATTGTTTCTGTTTTCTATTTCCTTTCCTAAATCTAATCTATATATAGTGATATAGATAAAAACTGTCTAAAATTAAGCATGTTACCTAGCCAAATTCATATAATTTTTAAAAAAAATTTTAAATATTTAACTTCAGAATAAGTTGTGTGTTTTAAACAGCAGATTTCCATGCCTGTGTTTTCCTTAGACTATTGTCAAATTTAGTGGCTTTTACTTTAATTCAAACTGATTTTGACAGGAACTGACTTGACACTTGATGCATTATAAATCAGATATCTGAAAATATATGTATACAGGAGTCAATCTTTTATTAAAATGTTCACTGAAACAATTGTTCTCTACAGTTTTTCAAAATAAACTGTCTTAAATAGACCATTATGTTTTCATTTTCTATGACAAATGGTTCCCGCATCAGTTAACCATGAGAGGATTTTAGCAGTTTTCAGGGGTACCAGTGTTTAAGGAGGGAGGCTTCCCAGGTGGCACAGTGGTAAAGAACCTGCCTGCCAATGCAGGAGACGAGAGAGATGTTGGTTCGATCCCTGGGTTGGCAAGATCCTCTGGAGTAGGAATGGCAACCTCTCCTTTGCCTGGAAAGGTCCATGGACAGAGGAGCCTGGCAGGCTTGGTCCGTGGAATAGCAAAGAGTCAGCCATGACGGAGCACGCTTGCCGCACCGCCCCCCCACACACAGTGTTTTGTTTTTATTGAGGTATAGTAGCTTTATACTGTCGTGTTAATTTCTGCTCAGTGGTGAAGAGAGTCAGCTATGTGTATACACATGTCCCCTGTCTCTCGGACCTCCCTCCCTTATCCCCATCCCCATCCCCATCCCACCCCGCCCCCCCCCCCCCGTCTAGGTCACCCCAGAGCCCTGAGCTGAATCACCTGTGCGCCACAGTAAGTTCCCGCCACTGTCTGTCCTATGCGTGGCACTGCACATACCGTGATCCCAGTCTCCCTGTTCACCCCCCTGCATGACCGCCGTCCACTTTCTACATCTGCATCTCTGTTCCTACCCTGCAGATAGGTTCATCAGTACCATTTTTCTTGATTCCATATATATGTGTTAATATAGGGTATCTGTTTGTCTCTTTCTGACTTACTTCATTATGTATGACAGACAGTAAGTCCATCCACGTCTCTGAAAGTTACCGTGCACCAGTCCTTTTTTATGGCTGAGTAGTATTCCATTGTACATATGCACCACATCTTATTTATCTACTCCCGTCTTCCTCAAATATTTAATATGTCTACATGTTCTTTTCTACAGAGAAATGGTCAATGCATGGTTTGCTGAGAGAGTTCACACCATCCCTGTGTGCAAGGAAGGAATCAAAGGCCACACGGAATCCTGCTCTTGCCCCTTTCAGCCAAGTACCCGTGCAGAGAGCAGTGTCCCTGGAACACCAACCAGGAAGATCTCTGCCTCCGAATTCGATCGGCCGCTTAGACCCATTGTTATCAAGGATTCTGAGGGGACTGTGAGCTTCCTCTCTGACTCAGACAAGAAGGAACAGATGCCTCTAACCTCCCCACGGTTTGATAATGATGAAGGGGACCAGTGCTCGAGACTCTTGGAATTAGTGAAAGATATTTCTAGTCACTTGGATGTCACAGCCTTATGTCACAAAATTTTCTTGCATATCCATGGACTTATCTCCGCCGACCGCTACTCCTTATTCCTCGTCTGTGAGGACAGCTCCAACGACAAGTTTCTTATCAGCCGCCTCTTTGATGTTGCAGAAGGTTCAACACTGGAAGAAGCTTCGAATAACTGTATCCGCTTAGAGTGGAACAAAGGCATCGTGGGACACGTGGCCGCTCTTGGCGAGCCCTTGAACATCAAGGACGCCTATGAGGTAAGTAAGCTCGTGGAACAGAGGCAGCGTGGGGCACGGAGTGTGGATGGGGCATTGGGCAGCTGCTGGGAATCATAGCAATGTCTGAAACTGAGATTTTATCCTTTACAAACTTATTTAAAGTGGGAACGTATGGTTAAGAACCTCCCCATCATTTGAAAGTCAGTTTCTTCACTGGTGGTTGAGTCCAACCCAGGGGCCTTAGGAAAATCTTGTCTTGTTACTCTCCTAAGTGATAATTTGACATAGCTCATCTCACAGTTGTGTTCTCTCATTTTTTCCTGATTACTATACATATCCCTCTCCACATTATCACCACGTGAACTTCTGAGGATTTTACTGAGATTCTAAAATAATAGGTCCAAAAACTATCTGAAAACCAAACCAACAGTCTTTTTAAATTCATTCATTCACTTAGTCATACTCATTCATTTGATATCTCATTGATACCAAAGTCTGATTATCTTTCTTTCCACTCTTTCAGTTGTTTTACTAAATAAATCTATCTGTATCTTCAAAAAATAGAAATTTTTGCTCTACAATATTTTGATGGAAGGATTTGATATTTCTTCCATTTTTGTTTCAGTAGTGAACAAGTCTTTATTATAGACTTAAAGATTATAATATATGTTTCTTCAAATTTCCTATGAAAATGATTCTTTTATTAATAGAGATTTTAAACAAAGTGTCTTAATTGAGTGGCAGTATGTTTATGAATCATGTTCTAGCACCTTGATAGAACAATTGTTCTTGCTACTTATCAGGTGGTACACTGTGTAGGTTCCATAGTAACACAGAGAAGGTGAGGTTCCTCTGTGCAGTTTGAGGGGTCATAGATGTTTTGCTCAGCCCTGTACTCCTGATGCCTAGTACAGTGCCTGGCACAGAGATAAGTCCTAATAAGTATTGATTAAGAGAAGATTGTGGTAGGGGAGATAAATAAATAGAGTAGAAAGCAGGTCATAATAGAGCCAGGAAAAATGTGTTAGGTTCAGGGAAGTAGAAGGTCACATGTAACTGGGGAGATGGAGAGAGGTTTCTCTGAGGAGGCAATGATTGATACAGACCCTGGAGGATGGGTAAGATTTGAGTAGATTGAGTTGTGTGCGTGGTGAGAGCCAGATGCAAAGAGAAGTTTGAAGAAGAAATGGGAAGTTGGACCATGTGTTGCTTATGTGGATATATGTGGGGAATAGTGTAGATTTTGAGGAGCTACTGGAGATCACTGAGGTCTTGAATGCCCAGCTGAGGAGTATGTATTTGATTCAGAGCCATGAGGAATAATTGAAGATGGTTTGAAAGGGGGACTGGTGTGATTCAGACTGTGCTTTAGAAGGATGAATATTATGGTGGTCCTAAAGTAAATTAGATGGAAAAATACTGGAAACTGGTAGGAGAGGCTATTTTAATAGGCTGAGGAAGTAAGGACCTAAACCAGGGCACTGGCCTTCAAGATCAAAAGGAGGAAATGGATTGCAGAAGCAGTTGAATCTGCCAGACTTGGAAGCTCGCAGGAGATGGAAGTGAGAAGAGACGTTGGAGATGCCTCAGGTTCTGAAGCTGGGTCAGTAAATAGTGGTGACTGGTGAGGAATTCCGAGGGTAGGGGTCTGGGGAGATAAGTGATAGTTTACGTATGTTAAATCCTGAGATAGCTCTTGGAATCCACTCTATACCAGCAGTGTTTTCAATTTTGGTTCTTCACGGAGCCGTTTCCATGACCGCTTGAGCTCTATAAATAACGTCACACCGTAGCAGACTCCAAGAGGGGTATTAAGGGCACAGCGGCAGGATTGCTGCCAAATTTGCGGAATCCCCTTCCCATCTTAGGTGACACTGGTAGATTAGTACCATAAATATGCTTCAGTTTTGCTGAGAAAGCCTTCATTTGCCTGCATGGTCCTAAACTTCACCAGCACTGAGGATTTCTTCACCCATATCAATTTTATTTATTTTCTTTACCATCATTAGATTTTTTGGGTTACCCAAGAAGTTTGTTTGAGTTTTTCATAAGATGTTACAAAAAGTCTGAAAGAACTTTTTGACCAACCCAATATATGGTGTAATTTTTGTTTTGCAGTGAGCAGTGGTTTAATTCCTGTCTAAAATAGGCCCACAGGGTGAAGCCTCTTAGCCTGGTGGATTTCTCGTGTTGCTACTCCACCCTTGACACCCTTGATCTGCATTTATGGTGGCCTTGCAGAAGTTCTTTCTGGCACAGAATTTCATTAGAAGTTGTGGGATTGATTATGATGTAATTTATGTTGGTCTTAACAGTGAAAATCAGTTGGCTAGTGGATAATTCAATACTTGGCTTCCCTGGTGGCTCAGTGGCAAAGAACCTGCCTACCAATGCAGGAGATGTGGGTTCAATCCCTGGGTCAGGAAGATCCCCGAGAAGGGTATGGCAACCTACTCCAGTATTCTTGCCTGGGAGAGTCCATGGACAGAGGAGCCAGATGGCCTAGTCCATGGGGTCGCGGAGAGTTGGCGCACCTGAGCACACCCACGGTTCCTTATTCAGCCCGCTCATAATTAGTAGTGGTCAGAATACTGTCTCTTAGCCTTCTGTGGAAATAGTCAAAATGTGAAAGCGTGTTCTGTGTTTTCTTAGTCCTACACATTCCTTAGATATGTAATCTGTAAAAATGACACTGTATAGCAGTATTTCTTCAGCTTACATGACCACAGAACACTTAGAAGTGGTAGTGTAGCAGTAGAAAACCAAGCATTGGCCATGAAATAAAACAGTGTTCAGATTGAAGCTAAGAATTAAAAAGTCTCTTAGATAAACTAATTTTAAGAAATGGTCAACATATGATTCCCGTTTTAAAACTTTGTAACAGAATGGTATACAGTTGGGAGTTAATACATTCACATATTTAAAACATGACATGATCCACAGCTTAGACCAGTGAGTTTCAGTTATAGCACAAATGTCAGTGATGTTCAATTAACACATCATCTCCTCTATCAGGCCATCATTCATGCAACTTTCTTGAATGTGGCACAGCATTTATTAATAATAAGATATTGACCCAATAATCAGAACGACTTATATAAATGTGTTGGAATTTTCCTAATACTTGAAAACAAGACATCATCCAGTATTTAGATCAGATTGTGTATCACTCAGTGTTCTTCAGAGAAACAGAACCAGTAGGATATATAGAGATAAATAGGAAGTGATTTATTGTAGGAATAAGCACACTTGGGTATGGAGGCTTAGAAGTTCCACAGTCTACCTTCCGTCTACAAGCTGGAGAACCAGGATTGGTGCAGTTGATGGTATAACTCAGAGTCTGCAGGCCTAAGAATCAAGGGGGCCAGTGGTATAACTCTGGTCTGTGTCTGAATCAAAAGCTTCAGAGCCAGAAGCTCTGGTGAACTGCACAAGGGCAAGAGAGTATGGATATCTTGGTTCAGACAGCAAATTTGTCCTTCTTTCCTCTGCCTACTCAAGGGATTAGATGATGCCCACTGGCATTGATAAAGATCTTCTTTACTCATTCCACTGATTCAGATGTTCATCTCCTCTGGAGACATCCTCACAGACACACCTAGAAATAACACATTATCAGCCGTTTGAGCGTCCCTTAGCCTAGTCAAGTTGACACATAAAATTAACTATCACAGATTGCCTTAAAGCCCTGGCTCTATGTCTGGTGGAAGCCTTACGCCTCCCAAGATTTCCTATGTCAAAGGATTTATATTGTCTAAATAACCCTCTTATTTCCTAAGTCAACAGGAATGCAAAACTTAGACGCATCTCTTGCTTCCATGGGGCAGCCTCTCCATGGACACCATGATTTTTAGGGAGAGAAATTGGAGGGTTCGTAGGGAAGGATCACATCGCCACTCATGTGGTCTTTCCCTCGAGCTGCAGCTCTTCCCACCCCAACCTTATTCCCCCCTTTTCAGTCCTTCAGATAAATACGTCTTCACCATCTCTCATCCTGCAGGTCTCAGGCACTACCCAAGTGAATTTCTGATAAATAAAATTATTTCCGATAAATAAAATTATTTCCAAAATGAATTTCAGAAGAAAGAAATAACAATAGCTACTGTCCTAATTTTAATAAATTACCAATTTTGATACATTTGTCGTGTTGTAATTGTGTCCTCGGGAACAGAGTTTGGGAACTGCTGTATCATTGTTAAATGCTCTAATAATCTTTAGATATTCCACTTTGTGGAAGAAGACTAGCATATAATTTGGCAAATCTAGTTGGTTATTTCCTTTTTTGTTTTCTGTTATTTTTATCTTTATATGATTTCAAGCTTATAGAAAAGTTGCAAGACCAGTATCAGAAACTTGGGTATACCCTCTACCCAGATTCTCTAATTGTTTATATTTTGCCCCATCTGCTTTATTACTTTCTTTTTCTGTGTGTAATGCATGTAAGTAATGCATGCACATTATTTTTTTCTGAGCCATTCGGAGACATTTTTACTATATGTATATTCTGATAAGAACAGATATTGCACTTGATCTTAGCTAAAAGGCTGAGAAGCAATTACTATATATATTGTCTAACAAGAATATAGTCTTACACAATTGTCATACTTTTATCAAAATCCGGAAGTTTTTTGATACAAAGCTCTTAGCTAACATTCCATAGTCAAATTTGGTCAGTTGTCCCATGAATGTCCTTTGCAGTGATTTTTTTCCCCCTCTGTTCAAGGCTTTAACTTAGGGTTACATATTGCACGTATTTGTCCTATTTTGTTAGTTTCCATTAAATCTGGAGTAGTTTCTCAATGCTGCTCTATCTTTCTTGACATGTCTTTTGGAAGGAGACAGGCCAGTTATCTTGCAGAATGTTTTTCTTGAATAGATTCAATTTAGGCGCTTTTGGCAGGAATACCACAAATGTTCTTTCGACCTCGTTTGGCTTTACAGCTGACAGTCAGTTCTTCACCTCTACACCAGCTGGGCTGTCCTACAGTCCATCTCACTCTTGACACGAGTTGCCTGGAGTGAGTACAGACCCCATGGGT